GCCGACAACGCCCCGACGGGAAAACAAGCCGGGACGCGATTCTTCTGTAATTCCTTTCTCAACGAAGAGCACTTCATGCCCTCAAAGTTAACGTAAAAATCGAGGTATTTTGACTTGAAATGATCACTTACTTGGTGCTACAACATGCCAAATGGTTACAACGATGGTTAGTAATTCACAAAATGGGCAATTGCGATCTTAAAATCAAATAAATCTTAGCGAGACCTACCTCACGTGGCGCCCCGCTTCCGTTTGGACACCGAAATGGCAGGTGTTTACATTTACAATTCAGAGTTTTGCCGATAGAGGGGATGGCGGTGTTGCCCACATGGCGGTGCTACCCCCGCTTCCCCTACTGTTCGCCAGCTACCGAACATTAGAAAGTGGGTAGCCCGAACAACACATGAGGTAAAACGCCCCATGGGGCTTTTTGCCCCGCGACCTACTGGGGCGTTTTACCCCATCACGTAGTTCGGTCAGAGAACAACGCTTTGCACTCCAGCAAGACATAATTTAACACGAACCAACCCGGCATGATAAGCGTTAGACAATAGTTGTTCAAAATACATAAAAGTCGTTAACCTGATATGGACCATAAAAGAACGCCATGATGCATAATCTGACAACAAAACATAAAAATCACTCAAAAAACACATTTTTGGCTATACCTTCCGAAAGAGTCATCACAATTTCTTCCCAGTCTGCTCATATAATGATCATATAGTGCACGTTTTATAGAAGAGAGGATGTTTCCCCAGAACTCTGCCAGTTCCGAGAAACATCGGTGAGGCGTTTTACCTCGGCGGGGCGACTTGCCCCGGTCTACCCTATTATGTTCCTTGGATATCCACTTGTTGTGCCATTCTGAGTAGAGGTTTTCAGACGCGATTCTTTTTGAAGTAAGGAGTTTTGATGCATTTGCTTTTATAATTTTCCTTTGAAGCTTTATCCACAGCAGTAGCGCAATCACTGTTAGCAAATTATGGACAAAACAATCGTATAAAAGTGTCACCAAAACCTGTCGAAACTACTTAGCAGGTATGCGGCATGTAGGAAAAATCTTACTGACCAAGTTACTGACCTTGTACTGACCTCAGCCGTACGAAATTATTTGGAAACTCGGCTTTCAAAATTTGACTCCGGCCCTCGTGCTTCGCACTCGGGCCTACGTCAATTTTGCAAACCTCGTTTCCAAATAATTTCGTCGGCCCGGTCAGTAATATATATATTCCTCAGAAAAATGTGAAGTTTTCGTTAGGAAACTTAGGAAACTATAGGAAACTGTTACTTAAAACTTACTACTACGTAGAGGTTACTGTTACTAACCTCTACACTGAGAAAAAAAATTATTCCCCAGGGGTGTTTTACGGGTGTCAGACACCATTGGAGGTGTCATCGAACACCCAGATTGGTGTTGAAAAATGCTGTTTAGGGAATCATTAAGGTGTACAACACCACGATGACACCCTTTCAAGTGTTCGTTCGATGCGAGCGTTTAGATATACCTTAATGGGATTCAGCATGACACCTTAATAGGTGTCCGACACCCACACCCATCCGGGTATCAAACACTCTAAGGTATCAAACACCCTAAAAGGTGTCAAAAATGTTCTTTTAAAAGCATCTGACACCCTTATGATGCCTTCACAGATGTTGCCATTTATTGAAGCGGAATGTTAAGAGTGTCTGACACTGCTAGAGGTGTCACATTGACACTTGCAAAAGGATCTGACACCAAAAACAGCATGAAAAAAATGAGGAAAAATATTTCCATGGGGTGTCTCACGGGTGTCGGACATCATTGCAGTGTCATATATAACGCCCAGATTGGTGTCAAAAATGTTGTTTTGGGAATCATGGAGGTGTACAACACCACGATGACAACCTTCAAGTGCAACGCGCTTTTAAACACACCATAATGGGATTCAGAAAGACACATTAATGGGTGTCCTACACCAACATCCATTCGGGTGTCAAACACCCTAAACCATCAACACTTCAAAAGGTGTAAAAAAATGTTCCTTAAAAGGGATCTGATACCCTTGTGATACCTTCACGTGTGTTGTCATTTGTTGAGGAACATTCCAGCATGAGTCATGAAATGTTTGAAAGCTGTCGTGTATTCGAACCTAAATCATCACATAAATTGTTCTGACGTCACTTGTGTTAGGAACCAGGGATGCGGTGTCTAACGGATTTTCAGTGACTCGGACTCCCGCTCTGTCTTCCAAAATGGACTCCTATTTCGGCCAGAACTGCCAACTCCATCAGACTCCGACTCTGACTCCGTAGCACTGCTAGAAACCACAGCAGGTCCAGTGGTTTGAATCATTACCCAATCAGCAAGCTGCATTGTGTAACGTCATTTGTGTGCTGGTCACGCGGCGTCAACCATGCGAAGATCAAAAAGCGCCACCTTGCAGGAAAGCCGTTAGATTTCAGTTGGCGGCGGCGTGGCCACGTGGTGCGTGTGCGGTGTGAGTGATGGCAGGGCTTTTTTGAATTTATGTGGATATAGTGGCGCCGAACGTTGTTCGCAGTGTACTTCTTCAAGTGATTGTGCGTTAATGGTACCTAATGTTTAGCTTTTATTTGTAGCTTGCTCCGTGTTTATTCAAATGACGAGGCCGGCGGTACTCGGTGAAATTTGAAGTCTGGAGTGAGGATGACAACACAGCATTGCACCATGGAAACGAAAGCAAGTGAACTGCGGAATAACATCTGGTTGGAGATAATCGACGGTTAATTATCATTGCTGAAATGCGAGCAACTTCTCACTGTGAATGGACCCGATGTGTTTCGGTGAGTTTTCATTGGATTTCTCCGTAAATATAGAGCCCATATTTTTTGTACTTTATAGTTTGTTGCTGTATACAAGATAGGAATGCCATGTATGTATGCGATATGCCTGTTTGAACCAATAAATGTAAGAATGTGTCGACACCTTTTTTGGCATCCAATGGACACTCTCGTAACACCTTTAAGGGTGTGTACCAAACTGCACCTCGCTGGGGTGCCAGACGGGTGTCACTTTTGACACCAATACAGGTGTCATTGGGAATCAAACATCGGGTGTCTGACACCCTTTTGGGTGTGCACCCAAAAGGGTGTCAGACACCTAAAAGGGTGTCAGACACCCGGTGTTTCATTCCCAATGACACCTGTATTGGTGTCAAAAGTGACACCCGTCTGGCACCCCAGCGAGGTGCAGTTTGGTACACACCCTTAAAGGTGTTCCAGGGGAATAATTTTTTTTCTCAGTGTACGGCAATATTCCCATTGATGAGGCCGTACAAACGGTCACGAACCTACTGCAGGAACATGGACATGTCATCAACATGTTTGGACTCGATTTGGCTGACGTCGAACGCCTACTAAATCATTGTTTAAGCAATAGTTTCCTGAGATTTGGTCAGGCATATTACAAACAAAACATGGGACTGCCTATGGGTAGTCGCATAGCCCCGTCAGTAGCGATTATCTTCATGGGAGCCCTAGAGGAAATATTTCTGTCGTCGGATTGTGTCCAGCCGGACATGTACATGCGTTATATCGATGACTGTCTGTGCGTGTGGTCGCACGGAGAAGACTCCCTAACGTCCTATTTTGAGTATCTGAACACAGTCCACCCCACTATCAAATTTACCATTGAACGGACAGATACAGCTGAACAACCCAGCCAGCCTTCCCAAATGGGGCCCATATGGGCCCCAAGTGGGCAGCAAACTGGGGCCCATCTGGGCTGCCCACTTGGGGCCCAGATGGGTTTGTCATGGGCGTCCAACTGGGTCCCATATGGGCAGCCCAGATGGGCCCCATATGGGGCCCAGCCGGGGCACATATGGGTCCCACATGGGCTTTCCCAGCCGGGACCCACATGGGTATAATTAAAAAATCCCACATGGGGCCCATGTGGGTTCGAAATGGGACCCATATGGGGCCCAGCCGGGGCACATATGGTCCCACATGGGCTTTCCCAGCCGGGACCCACATGGGTATAAGCGAAAAATCCCACATGGGGCCCATGTGGGCTCGAAATGGGACCCATATGGGGCCCAGCCGGAGCACATATGGGTCCCACATGGGCTTTCCCAGCCGGGACCCACATTGGTATAAGCGAAAAATCCCACATGGGGCCCATGTGGGTTCGAAATGGGACCCATATTGGGCCCAGCCGGGGCACATATGGGTCCCACATGGGCTTTCCCAGCCGAGACCCACATGGGTATAAGCGAAAAATCCCACATGGGGCCCATGTGGGTTCGAAATGGGACCCATATGGGGCCCAGCCGGGGCGCATATGGGTCCCACATGGGCTTTCCCAGCCGGGACCCACATGGGTATAAGCGAAAAATCCCACATGGGGCCCATGTAGGTTCAACATGGGACCCATATGGGGCCCAGCCGGGTCCCATATGGGTCCCATATGGGCTTTCCCAGCCGGGACCCACATGGGTATAAGCGAAAAATCCCACATGGAGCCCATGTGGGTTCGAAATGGGACCCAGCTGGGACCCATACCCAGCCAACATTATTACCTTGGCCCACATGGGGCCCAGGTGGGTTACTTGGTGGGACCCATGTGGGCAGCCCATGTGGGGCCCACATAAATTTGTCCCTGGGTAAATGGTGGGGCCCACCTGGGCTGGCCCACGTGGGCTCAAGGTGGGTACCATATGGGGCCCACCTGGGCTGGCCCACATGGGCTCAAGATGGGTACCATATGGGGCCCACCTTGGCTGGCCCACATGGGCTCAAGATGGGTGCCATATGGGGCCCACGTGGGCCAGCAGATGTGGGCCCTAGGTGGGCCCCATGCTGGCTCACACCTCCCTAGCATCGTTCGCATTAATTGATAAATATTCACCAAAGCCCATCTTAGTTCCCACCAGAACCTACAATTAATTTCAATATGATTATAATATAATCGATGTCTGCTATTTGAATCACTCCCGCTGATCATTGCTGAACGTTCGCCACCGCAACAAAACAAACTGTCAGTGATCAATATTTATATTATCGATAAACACAAAAATGCTGTTTAAACTCTCTTCTCTCTTCTGCTCATCTCTAGACTTCTTCTCTCATCTGCTCCTCCGCTTAAACTCCAGCTGGTCTCCTCTCCTGGCGGCCTCCGTCGCGGTTCCTGGCACCCGTAAACCACTTTCGTGGCGCCACCTCCAGCTGGCCGTTGTTGGTGTCCTGGGTAAGCCCGTTCCGCCGCACGGCTCCTGTAAAATAAGCACCAGCAATGTAAAATGTGCAGACACATAAGCGAATTGTTTATTGCCCCTGCTGTGTTCTACCATGATTCTGCTTTAAAAGTAACATTATCTGATTTGACTTGAATAGGTAATTGAGAAATGAACGTTAAATTTTATTATTTTTTTTGCAGGAAATAATCTGATGCAAAATAAACAAACAAGGTCCGATTATGATGGACACAAAGGACATTAGTGCTTTACAAGTCGGCTGCTTGGAATTCGCTAATCGGACAGTAATTGACGACACCTGAAATAGCATATGAATGGGAGTGCTGCTGTTATTCTGACATCCGCTATCAGGTGTCCAAGGGAGTTGGGCAATTAAATAAAGAGATAAAACCATTACTTACTGAACACGACATCAAAAAGCCGGGTACCGCCGAAAGCCCTTTTCCCGTGCCGTCCATTTACGCTTAGTCGCGTAGCGAGTGCGCTCGTCATGACGCCTGCCATCGTCCTTCGGACAGGTGTAAGCGGGGGCGCTTACACCGAGGTCGGCGACAAACAGCCACCCGGAGTATCTGTCCACTGCCACGAGGTACTTCCTGCCGGCGTGATCGGCAAAGTCGATGTGTAGTTCGAACGGCCTTTCCGCTGGCGGTCTCCTCATCATGGTCTCTTGCTGCTGAGCGGGTAGAAGATCTCTCTGGCAGATGGTACAGCTGCGGGTGACATTTTCCACATCCCGGTAGATCCCGGGCCAGTAGACGATCTGTCTCGCGCGGGCCTTCGTATTCTCCTTCCCCAGGTGGCTGGCGTGGAGGGCTTCTAGAACAGTCCTTCGTAATCGCTGTGGTATGACGAGCCTGCAGCCGATCCGGCCCGACCGACTGGACATCTCCACCGACCGCAGTGACGCCTTCTACCTCTGGAAGGAGAGATGGGACGACTACGTCCTGATCTCACAGCTGCGACTCGACCAACTAGCGATACAGCTGGCGTCGCTGCGGGCGCGCCTCTCCGACGAGACTCGAACGCGGTCGTGGTTGCGGCGCGGCCGCCACGGCTACGCATTCCTGCTTCCTTTCACTTTCGTTCATCGCACTTTGTACTCACTATGGGCGGGTTCGAGCTAATACCGACCGCGCCATGTGTCGGTTCCGCCCGAATTAAGGCTTTATTGGACACGCACACCACTCAGAGTCTCAACGCCAACTCGCCCGCCCAGACGCCGCAGCCCCGACAGCCGACCGGCCGGTCGGCCAGTCACCGCCCCGGGCGATGCAGAGGCGGCCCCAGGCCCCGTCCGGTGGGCCGAGCTCCGCCGGCGGGTCGCCCGCGCAGGGGCGGGCTCAGGCGACACAAGCATACGACACAATCACAACATTGACTATCCAATATCAGCCGTAGCTGTTCTCACAAACATCAACTATGCGACTTCCTCACGACGTCGAAGTGCATTTTGGAGGCATGACACTAAACAGCGAGTTCTTGTTTCTTGTAATATCATGCACATTGGACAGTGAAAAAATAATTAATGGGCTGCCCACATCCAGCCCACCTACACCCCACTACATGGGCTGCCCACGCAGTGCCCATGTTAAGCCCACCATACAGGAACACCGCGTGAATGCCTGTGTTCACCAAAATTCCTGGATATGCCCTCGTACATGGTGCAAGCAATCTTATTATCAAGCATTATGCCTGCCAAAAAATATGTGGGCAGCCCATGGGGGGCCCACATGCAGCCCACATATTTGCCCATCTCTAGCCCATGGCCCACCTAGCCCACCATGCCCATCAACTGCCCATGTGGGGCCCACATGGGCATGCTGGCTGGGCGTTTGCCCATTTGGGCCCCATGTGGGTCCCGGATGGGTGTGCCCAGCTTGTTGGTGCCCAGTCTGCCCACATGCTGCCCGCATCCAGCCCAGATAGGTGTCGGGCCAGTTAACAAAGTTTTGTAGTAAAGTTTGCCCATTTGGGCCCCATGTGGGCCCCGGATGGGTGTGCCCAGCTTGTTGGTGCCCAGTCTGCCCACATGCTGCCCGCATCCAGCCCAGATAGGTGTCGGGTCAGTTAACAAAGTTTTGTAGTAAATTTTGCCCATGTGGGCGGCTGGGCCCCATGTGGGCCCCGGCTGGGTGTGCCCAGCTTGTTGGTGTCCAGTTTGCCCACATGCTGCCCGCATCCAGCCCAGATAGGTGTCGGGTCAGTTACCAAAATTTTGTAGTAAAGGAAATGTTCGTATCCCAGCAAACATGCCCACATGGTTCCCATATGGGGCACACATGGGCCCCCATCTCTTACATATGGGCCCCACATGGGAATGGCAGTGGGTGACACGTGGGATCCATATGGGCCAGCCCACGTAGGCCCCATATGAGACCCACGCGGAACCCACATGGGACCCATATGGGCCAGCCTACATTGACCCCATATGGCATCATGTATGAACTTGATATACTTGGAGTCCAAAATTCACATGAACAACAGCCACCTTTTTTGCTTTTATGCTCTTGGAGTAACTTAAATGGGGCCCACATGGGTGATCCATATGGGACCCACATGGGATGCCCATCTCCAGCCCACATGCGTTTGGCCCACTTGGCCCATTTTTATCCCATATGGGGCCCATATGGGTAGCCCATCTGTAGCCCATGTCCAACGTGGGCCCATCTGGCCCATGTTCACCCCATATGGGACCCACATGGGATGCCCATCTCCAGCCCACATGGGTTTGGCCCACCTGGCCCATTTTTATCCCATATGGGGCCCATATCTGTAGCCCATGTCCCACGTGGGCCCATCTGGGACCCACATGGGATGCCCATCTCCAGTCCACATGCGTTTGGCCCACCTGGCCCATGTTCACCCCATATGGGACCCACATGGGATGCCCATCTCCAGCCCACATGCGTTTGGCCCACCTGGCCCATTTTTATCCCATATGGGGCCCATATGGGTAGCCCATCTGTAGCCCATGTCCAACGTGGGCCCATCTGGCCCATGTTCACCCCATATGGGACCCACATGGGATGCCAATCTTCAGCCCACATGCGTGTGGCCCACCTGGCCCATTTTTATCCCATATGGGGCCCATATGGGTAGCCCATCTGTAGCCCATGTCCCACGTGAGCCCATCTGGCCCATGTTCACCCCATATGGGACCCACATGGGATGCCCATCTCCAGCCCACATGCGTTTGGCCCACCTGGCCCATTTTTATCCCATATGGGGCCATATGGGTAGCCCATCTGTAGCCCATGTCCCACGTGGGCCCATCTGGCCCATGTTCACCCCATATGGGACCCACATGGAATGCCCATCTCCAGCCCACATGCGTCTGGCCCACCTGGCCCATTTTTATCCCTTATGGGGCCCATATGGGTAGCCCATCTGTAGCCCATGTCCCACGTGGGCCCATCTGGGACCCACATGGCATGCCATTCTCCAGCCCACATGCGTTTGGCCCACCTGGCCCATTTATGGGCCCATCTGGCCCATGTTCACCCCATATGGGACCCACATGGGATGCCCATCTCCAGCCCACATGCGCTTGGCCCACCTGGCCCATTTTTATCCCATATGGGGCCCATATGGGTAGCCCATCTGTAGCCCATGTCCAACATGGGCCCATCTGGCCCATGTTCACCCCATATGGGACCCACATGGGATGCCCATCTCCAGCCCACATGCGTGTGGCCCACCAGGCCCATTTTTATCCCATATGGGGCCCATATGGGTAGCCCATCTGTAGCCCATGTCCCACGTGGGCCCATCTGGCCCATGTTCACCCCATATGGGACCCACATGGGATGCCCATCTTCAGCCCACATGCGTTTGGCCCACCTGGCCCATTTTTATCCCATATGGAGCCCATATGGGTAGCCCATCTGTAGCCCATGTCCCACGTGAGCCCATCTGGCCCATGTTCACCCCATATGGGACCCACATGGGATGCCCATCTCCAGCCCACATGCGTTTGGCCCACCTGGCCCATTTTTATCCCATATGGGGCCCATATGGGTAGCCCATCTGTAGCCCATGTCCAACGTGGGCCCATCTGGCCCATGTTCACCCCATATGGGACCCACATGGGATGCCAATCTTCAGCCCACATGCGTGTGGCCCACCTGGCCCATTTTTATCCCATATGGGGCCCATATGGGTAGCCCATCTGTAGCCCATGTCCCACGTGAGCCCATCTGGCCCATGTTCACCCCATATGGGACCCACATGGGATGCCCATCTCCAGCCCACATGCGTTTGGCCCACCTGGCCCATTTTTATCCCATATGGGGCCCATATGGGTAGCCCATCTGTAGCCCATGTCCAACGTGGGCCCATCTGGCCCATGTTCACCCCATATGGGACCCACATGGGATGCCAATCTTCAGCCCACATGCGTGTGGCCCACCTGGCCCATTTTTATCCCATATGGGGCCCATATGGGTAGCCCATCTGTAGCCCATGTCCCACGTGAGCCCATCTGGCCCATGTTTACCCCATATGGGACCCACATGGGATGCCCATCTCCAGCCCACATGCGTTTGGCCCACCTGGCCCATTTTTATCCCATATGGGGCCCATATGGGTAGCCCATCTGTAGCCCATGTCCCACGTGGGCCCATCTGGCCCATGTTCACCCCATATGGGACCCACATGGAATGCCCATCTCCAGCCCACATGCGTCTGGCCCACCTGGCCCATTTTTATCCCTTATGGGGCCCATATGGGTAGCCCATCTGTAGCCCATGTCCCACGTGGGCCCATCTGGGACCCACATGGCATGCCCTTCTCCAGCCCACATGCGTTTGGCCCACCTGGCCCATTTATGGGCCCATCTGGCCCATGTTCACCCCATATGGGACCCACATGGGATGCCCATCTCCAGCCCACATGCGTTTGGCCCACCTGGCCCATTTTTATCCCATATGGGGCCCATATGGGTAGCCCATCTGTAGCCCATGTCCAACGTGGGCCCATCTGGCCCATGTTCACCCCATATGGGACCCACATGGGATGCCCATCTCCAGCCCACATGCGTGTGGCCCACCAGACCCATTTTTATCCCATATGGGGCCCATATGGGTAGCCCATCTGTAGCCCATGTCCCACGTGGGCCCATCTGGCCCATGTTCACCCCATATGGGACCCACATGGGATGCCCATCTTCAGCCCACATGCGTTTGGCCCACCTGGCCCATTTTTATCCCATATGGAGCCCATATGGGTAGCCCATCTGTAGCCCATGTCCCACGTGAGCCCATCTGGCCCATGTTCACCCCATATGGGACCCACATGGGATGCCCATCTCCAGCCCACATGCGTTTGGCCCACCTGGCCCATTTTTATCCCATATGGGGCCCATATGGGTAGCCCATCTGTAGCCCATGTCCCACTGGGCCCATCTGGCCCATGTTTACCCCATATGGGACCCACATGGGATGCCCATCTCCAGCCCACATGCGTTTGGCCCACCTGGCCCATTTTTATCCCATATGGGGCCCATATGGGTAGCCCATCTGTAGCCCATGTCCCACATGGGCCCATCTGGCCCATGTTCACCCCATATGGGACCCACATGGGATGCCCATCTCCAGCCCACATGCGTTTGGCCCACCTGGCCCATTTTTATCCCATATAGGGCCCATATGGGTAGCCCATCTGTAGCCCATGTCCCACGTGGGCCCATCTGGCCCATGTTCACCCCATATTGGACCCATGTGGGCATGTTTGCTGGGGTTCAGCCCATATGGGACCCAGATTTAGCCCAGATAATAGCCCACATGTAGCCCATGCCCACTTAAGCCCAGATGCCCCACTTTCAGCCCATATAGGCCCCATTTGGGAAGGCTGGCTGGGAATGCGGACAGATTCCATTTTTGGACACTATCATCAGCGTGCGCCCGGATGGCCATTATACCACCCAACTTTACATAAAGCCGATAGCAGCCTCCATCATCCTCCCGTGCGATTCCGCCCAGCCGTTTAAGATGAAAAAAGCAGTAGTGAAGTCACAGTTTCTACGTGCACTCAAAGTCTCTTCAGATCAGACCAGCGCCAAACACAGCATGGATATGATTCGTGCACTGTTCCTCTCTAACGGCTACCCACCCCACTGGCTTGACGGGGTGGCTCGACAAGCTATACGTCGGCACAAACACCCCAAAAAGACAAAAAAACAAAACAAGCACAGAAAAAGACAGGATATACGTTTTCCCATACCTGATGTAACGGAAGTTAGCCCACATTCAGCCCACATTCGGCCTAGCCCAGATTGGGGCTGCCAAGTCTAGGGAAAAATATAAAAATCTAGGGAAAAATCTAAAAACCGCTTTACGCCTAAACGGCTGGACGAAACTGAAAAATAAGACCACCATTTGAAAGATCTCTTCACCCCGGACCTAATGATATGGTTAAATACCGGATCACTTTAACCAAAAGCATGATTTAACCAGGATGAAAATTTTCGGTCAATGGGGCGGCCCCTACGATTTTCTTCAAAATCGGCATGGTGATACCAGTGTTGCCGCGGCAAGATTTTACAGCGTACCAAGATCGCATCCAAATCGTACCAGATTGGCTGTTTCTGGCTGCGTACCGTACCAGATCTTAGTAGGTCAAAACGTTTTTAATTCGGTACTATAAAATAGCCATAATTGCGGTATGTTCATGCCAGGAAGTAATTTATGACCCATTTGACCCAGTAATTCAACTCATTGGTCTCCCCGCGTCGCCCCATAAAGATAGAAAGGTGCTCTTCTGAAAGCTCGAATTCATGTGTAGGTACCTAAAATTGGCCTAAAAATACAAAAATCGAAATTCTGCCTTCGAGACGGGGAGGGGGGGGGGGCACTCCAGTATACCGTTGAGACTGGCGATTGCACCAAGGATCCTAGCTTGTAATGAAGGAGTGAAAATTGCCACAGTATTATGCTAGTAAGAATGGAAAATTATTTTTTGTTGGGTGTCATTTAGTTTTCCAACCAAATCGCACACGGCACAATTTTGGGACACTAATTCAAACAATACTCTTTCCGTAGCACTTCGACCGTCGACGTAACTCACATTTCACTGTTAACAATACAACTCCGATTCCCAACTCACGACACAAACTCTTAAATGGCCTTGGACACAACTGCGTCGGCCTACAGCCGGCGGCCCGTCCTTGGCAGCCGGCGTGGCGCGCGAATTTTCCACTTGTTTAGGTACCTCTGCTAGCACACAACAGGAGTAAGTAGGACCTATTAATAATTCCGAATATGATGCATTACAAATTATGATAAGAAACACCATCCTTTCTTACTAAAATATTTTTTTTTTTTAGCTTGAAAGAAATAATAAAACGTCAAAAAATGCATTTTGGCGAAAAAGTACCAGATTCCGTTCCGGCGTACCTCCGTACCAGAAAGGCCGAAAAAGTACCAGATCTGGTACTATAGTACCAGAACGGCAACACTGGGTGATACATGTCCGTGAAGTTAGCGTCAGCAACAGCAACGAATACAGCGTCGGATTCAGAATCGCCTAAAAAACTCATAGTAGGTCAATTGGGGGACGGGGAGCGAGAATATGACCATTATTTGGCCCTAGCTCTTACCCCTTACCCCTTAATCGATGTCCGTGAAGTTAGCGTCAGCAACAGCAACGAATACAGCGTCGGATTCAGAATCGCCTAAAAAACTCATAGTAGGTCAATTGGGGGACGGGGAGCAAGAATATGACCTTTATTTGGCCCTAGCTCTTACCCCTTACCCCTTAATCGGCCCTTAAAGGACGGGGCGCGTCAAAAGTGCCTCAAGGGTTCGTCTGATCGCCAAAATAAAGGTCGCAATCGATTCCCCGGGTCAATATCTAGCCGCAGCCTCGGGTTCCAGATGTGTGCAACTTACCCCTTACCCCTTAATCGGCCCTTAAAGGAAGGGGCGCGTCAAAAGTGCCTCAAGGGTTCGTCTGATCGCCAAAATAAGGGTCGCAATCGATTCCCCGGGTCAATATCTAGCCGCAGCCTTGGGTTCCAGATGTGTGCAACTTACCCCTTACCCCTAAATCGGCCCTTAAAGGACGGGGCGCGTCAAAAGTGCCTCAAGGGTTCGTCTGATCGCCAAAATAAGGGTCGCAATCGATTCCCCGGGTCAATATCTAGCCGCAGCCTCGGGTTCCAGATGTGTGCAACTTACCCCTTACCCCTTAATCGGCCCTTAAAGGAAGGGGCGCGTCAAAAGTGCCTCAAAGGTTCGTCTGATCGCCAAAATAAGGGTCGCAATCGATTCCTCGGGTCAATATCTAGCCGTAGCCTCGGGTTCCAGATGTGTACAACTTACCCCTTACCCCTTAATCGGCCCTTAAAGGAAGGGGCGCGTCAAAAGTGCCTCAAGGGATCGTCTGATCGCCAAAATAAGGGTCGCAATCGATTCCCCGGGTCAATATCTAGCCGCAGCCTCGGGTTCAAGATGTGTGCAACTTACCCCTTACCCCTTAATCGGCCCTTAAAGGACGGGGCGCGTCAAAAGTGCCTCAAGGGTTCGTCTGATCGCCAAAATAAGGGTCGCAATCGATTCCCCGGGTCAATATCTAGCCGCAGCCTCGGGTTCCAGATGTGTGCAACTTACCCCTTACCCCTTAATCGGCCCTTAAAGGAAGGGGCGCGTCAAAAGTGCCTCAAAGGTTCGTCTGATCGCCAAAATAAGGGTCGCAATCGATTCCTCGGGTCAATATCTAGCCGTAGCCTCGGGTTCCAGATGTGTACAACTTACCCCTTACCCCTTAATCGGCCCTTAAAGGAAGGGGCGCGTCAAAAGTGCCTCAAGGGATCGTCTGATCGCCAAAATAAGGGTCGCAATCGATTCCCCGGGTCAATATCTAGCCGCAGCCTCGGGTTCCAGATGTGTGCAACTTACCCCTTACCCCTTAATCGGCCCTTAAAGGACGGGGCGCGTCAAAAGTGCCTCAAGGGTTCGTCTGATCGCCAAAATAAGGGTCGCAATCGATTCCCCGGGTCAATATCTAGCCGCAGCCTCGGGTTCCAGATGTGTGCAACTTACCCCTTACCCCTTAATCGGCCCTTAAAGGAAGGGGCGCGTCAAAAGTGCCTCAAGGGTTCGTCTGATCACCAAAATAAGGGTCGCAATCGATTCCCCGGGTCAATATCTAGCCGCAGCCTCGGGTTCCAGATGTGTGCAACTTACCCCTTACCCCTTATTCGGCCCTTAAAGGACGGGGCGCGTCAAAAGTGCCTCAAGGGTTAGTCTGATCGCCAAAATAAGGGTTGCAATCGATTCCCCGGGTCAATATCTAGCCGCAGCCTCGGGTTCCAGATGTGTGCAACTTACCCCTTACCCCTTAATCGGCCCTTAAAGGACGGGGCGCGTCAAAAGTGCCTCAAGGTTTCGTCTGATCGCCAAAATAAGGGTCGCAATCGATTCCCCGGGTCAATATCTAGCCGCAGCCTCGTGTTCCAGATGTGTGCAACTTACCCCTTACCCCTAAATCGGCCCTTAAAGGACGGGGCGCGTCAAAAGTCCCTCAAGGGTTCGTCTGATCGCCAAAATAAGGGTCGCAATCGATTCCCCGGGTCAATATCTAGCCGCAGCCTCGGGTTCAAGATGTGTGCAACTTACCCCTTACCCCTTAATCGGCCCTTAAAGGAAGGGGCGCGTCAAAAGTGCCTCAAGAGTTCGTCTGATCGCCAAAATAAGGGTCGCAATCGGTTCCCCGGGTCAATATCTAGCCGCAGCCTCGGGTTCCAGATGTGTGCAACTTACCCCTTACCCCTTAATCGGCCCTTAAAGGAAGGGGCGCGTCAAAAGTGCCTCAAGGGTTCGTTTGATCGCCAAAATAAGGGTCGCAATCGATTCCTCGGGTCAATATCTAGCCGCAGCCTCGGGTTCCAGATGTGTGCAACTTACCCCTTACCCCTTAATCGGCCCTTAAAGGAAGGGGCGCGTCAAAAGTGCCTCAAGGGTTCGTCTGATCGCCAAAATAAGGGTCGCAATCGATTCCCCGGGTCAATATCTAGCCGCAGCCTCGGGTTCCAGATGTGTGCAACTTACCCCTTACCCCTTAATCGGCCCTTAAAGGACGGGGCGCGTCAAAAGTGCCTTAAGGGTTCGTCTGATCGCCAAAATAAGGGTCGCAATCGATTCCCCGGGTCAATATCTAGCCGCAGCCTCGGGTTCCAGATGTGTGCAACTTACCCCTTACCCCTTAATCGGCCCTTAAAGGAAGGGGCGCGTCAAAAGTGCCTCAAGGGTTCGTCTGATCGCTAAAATAAGGGTCGCAATCGATTCCCCGGGTCAATATCTAGCCGCAGCCTCGGGTTCCAGATGTGTGCAACTTACCCCTTACCCCTTAATCGGCCCTTAAAGGACGGGGCGCGTCAAAAGTGCCTCAAGGGCTCGTCTGATCGCCAAAATAAGGGTCGCAATCGATTCCCCGGGTCAATATCTAGCCGCAGCCTCGGGTTCCAGATGTGTGCAACTTACCCCTTACCCCTTAATCGGCCCTTAAAGGACGGGGCGCGTCAAAAGTGCCTCAAGGGTTCGTCTGATCGCCAAAATAAGGGTCGCAATCGATTCCCGGGGTCAATATCTAGCCGCAGCCTTGGGTTCCAGATGTGTGCAACTTACCCCTTACCCCTTAATCGGCCCTTAAAGGACGGGGCGCGTCAAAAGTGCCTCAAGGGTTCGTCTGATCGCCAAAATAAGGGTCGCAATCGATTCCCCGGGTCAATATCTAGCCGCAGCCTCGGGTTCCAGATGTGTGCAACTTACCCCTTACCCCTTAATCGGCCCTTAAAGGACGGGGCGCGTCAAAAGTGCCTCAAGGGTTCGTCTGATCGCCAAAATAACAGTTGCAATCGATTCCCCGGGTCAATATATAGCCGCAGCCTCGGGTTCCAGATGTGTGCAACTTACCCCTTACCCCTTAATCGGCCCTTAAAGGAAAGGGCGCGTCAAAAGTGCCTCAAGGGTTCGTCTGATCGCCAAAATAAGGGTCGCAATCGATTCCTCGGGTCAATATCTAGCCGCAGCCTTGGGTTCCAGATGTGTGCAACTTACCCCTTACCCCTTAATCGGCCCTTAAAGGAAGGGGCGCGTCAAAAGTGCCTCAAGGGTTCGTCTGATCGCCAAAATAAGGGTCGCAATCGATTCCTCGGGTCAATATCTAGCCGCAGCCTCGGGTTCCAGATGTGTGCAACTTACCCCTTACCCCTTAATCGGCCCTTAAAGGAAGGGGCGCGTCAAAAGTGCCTCAGGGGTTCGTCTGATCGCCAAAATAAGGGTCGCAATCGATTCCTCGGGTCAATATCTAGCCGCAGCCTCGGGTTCCAGATGTGTGCAACTTACCCCTTACCCCTTAATCGGCCCTTAAAGGAAGGGGCGCGTCAAAAGTGCCTCAAGGGTTCGTCTGATCGCCAAAATAAGGGTCGCAATCGATTCCCCGGGTCAATATCTAGCCGCAGCCTCGGGTTCCAGATGTGTGCAACTTACCCCTTACCCCTTAATCGGCCCTTAAAGGACGGGGCGCGTCAAAAGTGCCTCAAGGGTTCGTCTGATCGCCAAAATAAAGGTCGCAATCGATTCCCCGGGTCAATATCTAGCCGCAGCCTCGGGTTCCAGATGTGTGCAACTTACCACTTACCCCTTAATCGGCCCTTAAAGGAAGGGGCGCGTCAAAAGTGCCTCAAGGGTTCGTCTGATCGCCAAAATAAGGGTCGCAATCGATTCCTCGGGTCAATATCTAGCCGCAGCCTCGGGTTCCAGATGTGTGCAACTTACCCCTTACCCCTTAATCGGCCCTTAAAGGACGGGGCGCGTCAAAAGTGCCTCAAGGTTTCGTCTGATCGCCAAAATAAGGGTCGCAATCGATTCCCCGGGTCAATATCTAGCCGCAGCCTCGGGTTCCAGATGTGTGCAACTTACCCCTTACCCCTTAATCGGCCCTTAAAGGACGGGGCGCGTCAAAAGTGCCTCAAGGGTTCGTCTGATCGCCAAAATAAGGGTCGCATTCGATTCCCAGGGTCAATATCTAGCCGCAGCCTCGGGTTCCAGATGTGTGCAACTTACCCCTTACCCCTTAATCGGCCCTTAAC